AGTCTAACCCTGCTGTTTACTGCAGCATCACCTACACAGTGAGAGCTGTGCCACGGTGACAGTGGCACTGTAACCCTGGCACTGTAACCCCAGGGTGCATCCCAGCCTCCCTCCTCGGTCTAACCAGGCTCCCCACGCCCAGCATTGCATTCCCCATCCCCTCAGCACCCCATGGTGTCACACCTGCCCCCAGCCCCACCAGATGCTGAAGGCTCCACGCCCCTTCTCTTCCCCAGCCCCCAGAAGGGGACTGCACCCCAGCCTGCAGCAGGAGGTGCTGGCTGAGCTCAGCAATTAAAAGTTCTCCCTCTGACGAGCCCAGCCAGCCCTGGCTGGGTTGTTAATGGATTGCTATGTCTTAATAACAGCTCTCAACAGAGACTTAGAGGCAGATTTAGGGAATAACTGCCAGGCTTACGGGAAAATTATAAAATATGCAGATTAGCAAGGAGAGGATTTAGACGACTTTTTCTGACTGCCTTTCGTGAAAAATTTTTATTCTGATGGCAAAAAAAAAAAATAGAAAATATTACTTGGCTGCAATTCAAGCAGCTGCCTTGTTGCCTGGTGGGGTTCTACACAGCCCTCAGTTCACAGGGCTGGAGCGAGCTGGTGCAGGCAAAAGCCAGAGTTTCTCCTGCTGTTTAGAGCCAAGCCTGCCAAAAGGATTATCCAAGAAGATAAACAATTGCATTCCCTTCCTGGGCACTTTCTCAGCACTTTCCCTCCCTGGGCTGGAGGCATGGTGTTTGTGTTAGCACTGGGAGAAGCAGAGCTGCTTGTGGGGACCAGCAGTGCCATGCTGGGCACGGCGTGGGGACAGTGCCAGGGAAGCCATGCTGCGAGTCCCACCGAGCTGGAGGATGTGGGGATGCTGGTAGGTGATCCACCAGCTGTACCATATCCCTGCCACCCAGAGGAGCTCCCAGCAGCTGGCAGACACATCACAGCAGCACCAGGACACGGCAGACACCAGGAAGCGAGGGGAGGGAGGGAAGGAGGCATTTGTGAGCACAGCCACCATCCTGTCTGCACCACCTGAGCACCAGCCCAAAGGTGCAGATCTCTCCTGCAGTGACTCAAGCTCCAGTTCAGAGCTCCTGCTCCATCACCCAGCACCTAACCAAGCCGACCAGCGAGCCAACCTCTCAGCAGGGCATCCAAAGCAGATTCCTCCTGCAGGAGCTCAGCTGGAAGGCACCAGCCAGAGGCAGACGCAAATCCCAGGAGATAAAGATGAGAGGAGCGAGGCTGTCCTGCCAGGAGATCCCTCCAGCTGGCTGCTGGCCTGGCTTTCATGGGACAGGGCTGCTGCAGCAGAGCACCCTTCTCTGCCAGGGAGAAACTCGCACAGGAATGTGCTCTGGCCAATGCTTTGATGTAACCCAACCTTCCCACACTTGCACCTTTTACAAAGCCCACGTTCTGCCAGAAGCAGCAGCTCTGAAATCAGGGCATTAGTGGGGATAATGGCTATTTTCTTATATTGCCCAAACGGAGAAGACCCATGGAAGGTCACCTGAGGCTTGGCATTCCACTCTAAATTCTTCTTGGAGGAGACAAGAACAGGTATGATTTGAAGCTATCAGGCCAGAAGTAAAAATGCCCATGGATACAATTAATAACCCAACGCATTGATGACCTGAAGCTGTTGGAGCATTGCACAGAGATGGCAGAATTACATTTGCAGCCCACAGCAGTCCCCAAATTCTCTGCCTGAACTTGGGCAGCTGTCCCTTTGTGCCCCTGTCCCATAGAAATGTCCCTCCCCAGCACGACCTCCTGCCCACCCTGGCATGGGGACAGGCTCCTCCTCAGCACCCTCCCCACCTGGGGTGCACCACAACACCCAGATGGCACCGGGTAAAAGCTGCAAACCTGGGTAAAAATTAGCAAGCCTGGGTAAAAATTAATGGAGTTAGACTGAGTTCAACAGGAGAGCTGAACCTGTGCTCTGCAGCCACCGCTGACAAGGAGCCACTTCAAGAGGACTATTTCTAGGCCAGCTGCAAACAGAGTGTTTAATTATATCCCCCATATGGAAAGCAAGTGTCTGTGCTGCCTTCTGGCCCTGTTTCCAGAAAAAAAAAACCAGCAGCAGAAGTAAAACTAAAAAAACCACCAGCATTTGATTTACTACAGTTCCAGAAAGCACCAAAACCAGAACTAACAAGCAAAAAAACCTTCTCCTTTCATGTTTGCTGATAACTTTAAGCCACAACGTAAACACAAATAACTCACAGAAAACAGATCTAACAAAAACCACAGGCATTTAAAAAAATCATCTGCTAAACCCAGACATTATACAGTACAAGTACAAAGCTCAAACATGTGAATGAAATCACAGCTTATATTAAATATATGCAAAAGAAAGATTAAATCACATTACTTGGCTTCAATCTCATGAATAGTTTAAAGTCTAATTGCTCCTGCATTGTTCCATTTATGATAAAAGTTGTAGAGAAGGCGACCTGATTTACAAAAAAAGCTTGCAAAAATAACAGCACCTCCCAAAACAGCCTGTTCTAGCTCCTGTTTCATTTAGCCTCAGAAGAACAAAGAAAACACTGCCACAGTTTTTAAAAGCCTCCATAAATTTACCGTAACCTCCCCAAAACATCCATCAGCCTCGGGCAGCTGCTCAGCACATCAACCTCACTGCCCAACCGATGTACTTTTAATTGAGATTTCCTCTTGCCAATTTTCCTATGACTCTCTGTCCTCAGTGACTTCCATGAGGGTCCAAGGGATGCTTTGAGCACACCCTCAATAATTCAGCAGTTTGGACTGTGCTTACCCACACTGACCACATATTCAGGCAGATTCTCCTGATTCAGAGCTCCAGCTATCAGCACCAACCCCAGCACTCCCCCGTGCCTGCATGAAAGGGTCAATAACACACACAGACCTTGGGAAAAACAGCCAGCCAACAGTTTATCTGAAACACTGACAGCTCATAGGCCCCCGGCAAGGGCCAGAGGCACTGCCCCACCTCATTTCCCACTGGACGGGACTTTGCTGCTCCTTCCTGAGCAGGATGGGAAGGCTGGTACCTTGGGAAAACAGCAGGTTGAAGTTTAAACCAGCACCCCTTCTCCTGCGCTGGGGCTGAAGCTGCCACTGCTATTTCAGCCAGGGACAGAACACGACCACCAAGCAGTGACCGCTGGGTTAAGCCAGCTCAGGCCAAGCTGGGGCACCCACCAGAGCCCCCAGACCTAAAGAGTGAAAGAGGAGCCTTGGGAAAAGGCTCAGCACCTGGGTCTGCACAGCAGTCAGCACCTGGCGGGGCCAAGAGGCAGAGCTCACCCCTGGGGATGGCACAGCAGACACGCTGAGCTCCAGCACAGCACCAAAGCAGGGCACAGCACCCCCAGACAAGGGCACCAAGTGAGGGGCACCACTCCCATCCCCACGTGCCCTCTGTCCCACACCTCAGCACATGGTGTGGGACCCCCTCCACCAAGGACAGCAGAGCAGCAGAGCCCGGCCAGGCGGCGCTGCCTGGAGAAGCTGACTTGGCCAACAAAGCCACTGATAAAAGCAGACATGGCTGGGTGGAGAGAACAGGGAAAAGGCTACTTGAAAGGCTTCAGAAGGGTGGAGAGAGGAAATACAGACGTTTTTTTCCCTAAGTAATAAATTTTAAAGGAGAGCCCAGCCCTATCCTGGACTTGAGGAGTGCCATGGACGGGTGACAGCTGAAAAGACCTTTTTTGGCACAGATTTTGTTTTTCCTTCTGGAGGCAGTCTGCCCTCAAACCATGCATGTTCCCAGCAAGCATGTCCCAATGGCTGCAATCACAGGTTCTGTTCAGCAGCACTTTGCACAAGTCAGGCTCACCAGTGATGCAGAAAGCCAAACCCAGGCAGGATCCAGAACTGGGGCAGCATCACTTCAGTGCTGCTGTTTGGCGCAAAATCTGTTGCTCCTGCTCAAGCACAACCACCGACCTCCACAAGCATCTCAATTCTTCTTTTTCCTGCCTTGCTGGCAGTCAGGGTTATGAAACCATTGCTCATCCTGAAATACAGGCAGCAGATCTTTATTTTTGGCCGTCCAAAAGAAAAGTTCGACCAGCATGCCACCAGCATATAAAATTCAGGCTCATAGGAACACTTCAGGCTGGAGAACAGTAAAAGGACTTTGAGTAAGAGCCAAATGTTTTGCAGAGGTCACAAAGCAAATACAACGAGGTCTTCCTGTCTTCAAAACTCTTCCTCCCTCCTCTCCCCGGCTCAAGCTGTGCACATATGTCTGTTCATCAGCAGCTATTTTAGCAGGGCAGCAAGCTCTCCAGAGCAGTGATTTGGCCTGGCAAAAACTGAAATAAGAGCAAAATGGAAAAAAACCTCCCAGTTTGCAACTGTCAGTGCTTGCACCACCCAGCAGAGCTGTAATTTGTTGGTTTTCCCGCTGTTTCCTGGTCCCCTGAAAGCCTGAGCTCTTCAGTTATGGAACCAAAAGCCCCTAAATACCAGGTTACCCACCCCAGCTCGGCCAGACCTTACTCTAACCTCTGCCACCTACAAACATTTTGCCCCTTTTTGAGTTTTCCCAGCGTTTCAGGGCCAGGCTGCCAGCTGACTGGCGAGAAGCCCATTTCCCAGAGCACTTTCTTCCCTTTCCCCTGGGAAGCGAGGCTGCCTGGCTGGCACACTGCAGGGCAGAGGCTGCAGGCTGCCCTGCCTCTAGCTCAGCACAGCACCCAGAGCCTGGGCTGGCACCCAGGGCTGGCACCCAGGGCTGCCCGGAGCCATTCCCAGGCCAAGCTTGCCCCAGGGAAGCTGTCCTGTCTCCCAAGCAGCCCCCAGCAGGGAGGGCAGGGCAGGTCCAGCCTGCAGGGGCTCCCCCAAGTCCTGCACCAGCATCCTGGGGTGCCTCAATCCCCACAATGGGTCCCCGAGGTGCCAGCACCTCCCATGCTCCTCACTCTCAGGTTCAGGTCAAGTTTTTCGACTCCCAAACCATAAAAACTGTGGTTTTTTAACTCTGCCCCTTGCTGTACCACAGACAAATGTTTCCACAGCAGGAGCAGGAGGTAAGAGGGAAAAGAGGTAGAAATCACCTACTTCACCCCTTGCTCCACAGCCAAAATCAGCTCCACGTGCCCCAGCCCACGCTGGGAGAATTTTCATCTCTGGGCACTACAGGGACCAATAGACTCATCCCTGGGGCTTGCAGTCATACCAGGAAACTGGATGATGAAATGCACCCAGCCAGCACAGAAATCCTGCCCATGTGGCCGGGGGCTGCTTATCTGCAGGAAATCCTTTGGCTCCTGCTGTGGCCGGGCTGGGGAAGGCGCAGGGCAGAGGCTGAGAGAGGCTCAGAGCCAGCCTGCCCTGCCCCAGGACAGGGCACACACGCAGGAACTGCACCTCCGAGCCTGGGGCTTCCACCCGAGAGAGATTTTTACCTGTTACATTTTTACTCTATTTAGATTCAAGTAAAATGTACCGCTTTAAGCGTATTAAGTAAATATGTAAATAAGTATATAAGTGAAATATAAGTAAATAAGTATATATGCAAAATATGTTTCATCTAGTAACTTTACAACACTAATAAAACTAACTAAAAAAAAAGGTGGATTTCTAAGCTAAAAAGAAATAAAAGACTTTTCAAACCTTGAAACAGACAGAGTAAACTGACTTAAAAGTTCGTTTTGCACTTTTGTTTTTTGTTTTGTAAAAAAAACCAATCCCAGCACTATAATAAACATACCATCCCTACAAATCTTTATTAAAATGAATTTTAATTTTTCACTGCAACTCCCACCAGCTGCAGTGAGCCCATCCCGTGCTGGAGAGCATCCCTGGGGATGGCTCAGCCACCTCCAGCCCACCAGCCTCTCTCCCTAGCCAGGCACCAGGACCAGGGCGTTCCTCTCTCCCAGCACCAGCTCCTTCACCCAAGGCCTCCTGGGTCTGCCTCCCACCCTCAGTGGTACCTGGCAGGTGCAAAGTCCCACTTCCATCCATTTAACATGGAAATGATGTGCTCCACAACATGAATTTGGCTGACAGGAGGACAACAGCCTCCGGGCATCGCAGCTCATTTTACTGCACTCCCTCCCTGAGCAAACAAGGTATGAAAAAGTGAGCTGTAAGGAAGGAGGAGAAAACAAAAAGAATAAAAACCTTCCACAACTCAGGCTGAACAAAGTGGCATGCAAAACACCACCCAAAGCAAACAGAAAAAAAATTAATTAATACTGCATTTCAAGGGTGGCTTTGCAGCCCCCAGAGTGCAGTCTGAGTCCCTGCAGATAGCAGCTGCTTGGCTTTGGCTGAATGCTGGGGAGGAATTACATAGAAATCATAATAAAAGATGGAAGGGCTGCTCACAAAAGTGATTTTTTTCCCCCTGTATTTAATTTCCCGGCAGTGAGTTTTTTTTGGTTTTTTTTTTCCCCCCTCTTAAGCCAATTGAGACTCCAGCAACAGAGCCCAGCGTCGCTGCAGTCAAGCAGTATTTAATTTGTATTACTGCTGAAGAGATCTGGGGTGGCAGCACCAAAGAAGCACTTCAAATTGTCTGGTCTTGCCTGTTGCACGCCTTACTCAGCTTTTCTGAGTCCTTTACAGCACCAGAAACAGGATCCTTCTGGTCTGCAAATCAGTGTATTTGCCACAATACTGCAAACAAATTGCATCGAGCAAGTGAGCAATGTCTTGTTTCCCACTGGAGCCATCTCACGGAATCTGGTTAAGGCACACAGCACGCTTTGAGACATGCCAGATGAAGAGAGTCTTTGAAAACACACAGCAAAACATTACCAAGCCCTCCATAAGCAAGGCTGGAGTCCTTTCACCAACAGATCCTGAAAAATCAGCTGAAAACAAGAGCAAAAAGTCTGCAGCAAAGCATTACTCAGCAAAGGCCACAATGGAGTTTAGCAGGAATCTCATTCAAGATGGGAAACAGAAAAGAAAAGCTGATTTGAGAGCAAAATGCCCAGCTAGAACAGCCTTGCAGGGGCTCACCCCTCCTTCTGCTGCAGGAGGAAAACAAAAAGCTCTTTACGAACAACTGGATCCCGCAGCAAGCTCTCCTTAAGGAGGGCAGGACAAAGCTATCAGTCGGGCTGGATGGCCAGAGAGATCTGCTTTTAGACTAAATGGGCTTTAGCTGGAATTCCATCCCAAAAAACACTACTGAGCTTTGGGAAAAAAACCACTGGAGTCAGCAGGAGGCAACAGGTGCCCGCAGGAACAGGCAGAAGGGGTTGCATAAGGAGCTAAACATTTTAGAGAACATTGGTTCTGATTAGCATCTGTGGCAGTGAGCATCTCTGAGAGCACAGAAATGATGGAGGGGAGGAGAAGCCAAGCCCAGGACAGCTTTTCCCCCACCAGGGAGCCTCAGCATCCAAATGCACTTTGCAGCCATCAGAATGGTGCCCTGTGCCAAGCACTGCCCAGCCTGAGAAAGAGCACAGAAGCAAAAAAAAAAAAAAAAAAAAAAAAAAAAAAAAAAAAAAAATATATATATATATATATTTAATGCATCTCTGTATATTGCTTATATGCATATTTAATGTGCATACATGCAATGTATGCATATTTAATGCATATATATCTACTGAAGTCACTGCAGCCTCTGGGCAGAACAGGCTTTTCCTGACCCAGCAGCCGTGCTGTTGCCAAGGGCAGGAAAGAGGAGACCTTTTAAAAGGGGGAACTTTCAGTTTCCCCAGGCTACAAGTTAGTAAATCAAGCTTTAAAGCACTTTGCCACTCACTGCCATGCCCTGCAGCACACAGGCAGCAGCAGCAGGGTTAAGGCACTCCATGGAACAGCTCCACGTCAAGTCCTGGAGTGGAGTTTATTGCAAAAAAAGCAGAATACTGACTGCCCACATGAAATGTTAGCCAGTTCTGGCAAGCCTAGCAAGCAAGTCACCGGTGGCATGTTGGATAGCTGAAGACAGCTCAGCAGACTGCAGCATGCAGCTTACACCAGTGCAGCAGGGCTGCAGCTGCCCGTGGAGCCAGCCTGTGGAAAGGGTGCAGGGAGCCTCAGGGGAGCAAACCCACACAGGATTTGTGCACAACCATTTCAACAATAATAACAAATGGCTTACTACCACCAGCACCGTGAGCTGCAGTGTCCTGCAGTCAGCAGGACCCCCGTGACTGGCACTGTCCCTAAGGGCAGGGCAGGCTCTGTCCCTGTGCCCATGTCCCTGTGCCCTTCCTGCTGTGCCCAGC